TATGTCTTCTTTTTCTATAGCTTTGTCCATCAATTTCAATAATCGGTCTGCTGGTGGGCACCCGGCACAGCCTGTGAGGAAATCGGATTCGCTGAGTTCACAGTGGATCGAGTCAATTAGGGAGGTCGGAAGTGAAGTTTTTGACTAAAACTGCAAATTTTAATGTTTATTTTGCCACATTTTAAATTTCAAGGGGTGCCTGTAGAAGAAAATTTCACGAGGAAACCAATAGAGCCACTTTCAGGACCTCTAAGTTTTGTATAAACGGAGTTATAAGCGTTTGAAGTTTCTAAATTTTGTCCGGCCTCTCCTATTGACTCGATCCACTGGGCAACGGTCTCGGTGGTTCGAAGTAAATCCATTAAATGAATTAATTTTATCGCGCTTCAAGACGATTCGATTCTATCTTTTTCACTCTTACTCTGTATCGGAACAATTTTCAAAGCTTACTTTTCAGGTATGGAAAGAAGGCTATTTTCCATTTCAAAAACTCAAACTATGAAGTTGTATCACGCTCTCCCCAGAATTTGTAAGAAATATTTGTATTTATCAATCATTTAAGTGATGCCAAGAAGAAGAATAACCGCTCAAACCTTTTTAAAACGCGGTTTTTATGTATAAAAGGATATTAACATGTATTTTCCCTCGCGATTGCATTAGCAACTTGTAACTCGTTTAGTTTTGATCCTAATGCCAAAATCTTCATATTCGAAAGAGATGAATTTTGTCTGTCTAGAGCACGAGGCTGAGACAATAGGATCGAGTAACCGCTGGACTTTCAATATCCAAGTGTTGATTACTCTCACGCACCTTTTATTTGTAGTAAACCATCAGCATGACGTCACATCGGAGCAATCTAAAAGTGAAAAGACCACAGAAAGAGTGAGTTGAAGTGACGGCTAGAAGGGAATAAGCGTCATGACGGAAGGATTGTGCGGAACTAGAATACGGTCGGGCCATTGAACAAGCTGCCGGAATGGCTCAAATGCGTTTCGGGTGTGAGTCAGCAGATGACGTCATTGCGTCGGCGTTCGAGAGAAGAAAGTGAGAGGAAAAAGCAGAATTTTTGGAAGTCCGAGGCTCATCGGAGCTTAAGTCGAAACGCCATTCTAGCGCCGAAAGCGAATGCATAAGCCCCACACTGTCGCCAGGTTACGAGGAATAATTCGATTTCCTCCCGTGTAAACAAAAGAGGTTGAGCCAAAGTGGCAGGAGCGAGGCCGTGCTAAGCTGTCGGGCGCAGAGTCGTGACGTGAATATCGGATCCAACTCCGCGGATGTCATGGACGTATTACCCCCAGGACCCCCTCCCCCCACCCCCAACCCTCGTCCAGACCCCTGAGAACTCAAAGATGCAACTTAACAAAGCGTCTACGTTGTAACTTATCGTTAGTCCCCGCTTCGTATCGTTACTATAAGGTGGATCCTCAGTTTTTGCAGTATGATTTTGACGTATTTCTGCCAAACAGAACTATGTGCATTATGACGTGAGCCCTGTTATGCATTTATTCTAATGGGTCTCAGGGCTCATGGCTTAATGCTCATAGTTCCGTTTGGCAGAAATACGTCCAATTCTAGGTACGATTGATATATTTCAAATTTTAACCGTTTAGTAAGTACGGATTATTGTGGTAAAATCGACATTTCATTAGATTAATCATTATAGAGTGTTCATCATCCTTGCAAATCTTAATTGTCCTCTAAAACCTTAAAATGAAGTCAAAAGTACTGTTTCCATCTCTCAACCAATTTCAATGTATCGAGATTGATGGTCAACTGGAAACAGTAGTTGTAACTTTTTTTTAAGTCTCTGGAAGATGTTTGTCGGCCCGAACATTCTTCAATGATTCATCTACAGACTGAAATTTCGAATGGAAATTGATAGACAAAGCGATAGACAAAGAAGACATGGGGAGTATGGAGCGATCGTATTCGTTGAAATGCATGGTTCCTATAGACTAAGGGAGAAAATAATGGACTAACTACAGGGTCTCTCGTGAGTTGCCGTTAATTAGTCTATTACCTACCTCCTTCGTCTATTGTAACCACTCGCCTCCACCAATTTAATTCCTTTTTGGGATCCCTCTACATACCTTTTGTCTGCTTAGTCTATAGCTTTGTCTATCAATTTCAATAATCGGGCCGCTGCTCTGTGTTCCTACCCTTAAAGTCGCAGCTTGGAAGTGCGGGGCCCTCTCCTTCTCCCTCGCCGGACGTATTTGCGTACAAACGTCTCCGTCCGTCTCATCAAAATGAGACGGGATTATCGTAAGACAGAAGTTATGCAAGGGCTCTCTTAATCCTGGCTAAGTCCTTCAAGCTCTGTCATGCCGACGACGACTCCGGCGACGGCGCTGGGAGCCGCAAGCCCTCAATTATGATACACTTCCCGATCTCGGCGGCGCACAGTGGATCGAGTCAATTAGAGAGGTCGGACATGAAATTGTTGACTAAAACTGCAAATTTTGATGTTTATTTCGTTAAATTTTACGTTTCAAGGGGTGTTCCTAAAAGGAAATTTCACGAGGAAACCAATGGAACCACTTTCAGAACCTCAAAAATTTGTATAAATGGAGTTATAAGTGTTTAAAATTATCAAATTGTGTCAGACTTCTCCTATTGACTCGATCCACTGTGCGGCGCGGCACACGGGCCCAGGATGCGCCGCAGCACCGCAACGAGGTGAGTGGAACAACGACGCCGCCTGGGAATCGAGGAACTGTGTTACACAACGCTCCCAGGAGGGCACGATGCACCGGGGTACCGGGTAGACGGGCCATGGGGCACGGGGCTCCCTCGTGCGGGGAGGCGGTCGAGGGGGGGGGGCTAATTTCCGCGGACGCCCGTAATCATACATCTTATGCACTCGCGCTGAAATTATTTCATCTCGTTCATGCAGATTTCTTTCACCTCAGACACGACGTTCCAGTCCGGGGTTGCCACTTTCCTTTCCACCCAAATTAATCACATTCATTAGAAGTGGGGGTTTTAGAAGAAATAAGGGTTTGCCAGCTCCCTGAAGGGCTTTGGGAGGATAAGGGACGTCGGCGGCCAGGAGTCGCAGAGCGCCAGAGAGCGCTATAAAAGCGGCTTCATACGTACATTAGAAGTGGGCCGCGTTAAGCAGAAAGGAACCAAGCCACATCAGCTATTGCCAAATTTAATTGAACACTTTCATTTTTCACCTGGCAACGGTTGTGCGGATTTTTGTGCAAATTTCAGTAAATTTACCAATTAGATCGAATGAAACTCCTTAAAATTTTGAAAGAAATGCGCAAAACTTTCTCTTTTAAAAAACTTATTTGCCCAATTAGTGGAGGCAGCTGATGGGGCTTGGCTCCTTTCTGCTAAACGCAGTCCAAATATGATTAACGATGAGTCGGACAAAAATCATCATAATGCGTTGATTAATTTCCCCTCCTCTTGAGTATGGTAAATTCTACCATAAGGAAGTAGTGAATCCTGCCGTATTTGATCTATGACCCAGTGATGAAACAAGGTGACGACAGTCAGTACGGCAAAAGAGACTTGAAATCGTTCTTTGTTTATTTGTGCGCAAGGCTATTCTTGCATTTTAGCCCCGCATGTCATTGACGGCTTGCTTTAGCAACTCTTCCTTCTTTTTATGAAAGCTCATCAGTGTGTTGAAGATTTTACCAAGTTTCTTCCAAATTCCAGGGAACGGAAAGCCGGAGTGCCACAAAGAAAGAGGCTCACGACTTTAAGTGGCTGTTTTCTTACTCCATCGTTTAAGTCCCTCGCAATAATTTTTGTATTTGGATGATTTGTCATAGTAGCTTTCAGTAGGCACGTAGCCAGGATTTTGTATCGAGTAAGGGGGGGGGGGGCTTGGTTGTGTAAGGGGGGTTCCCTCCCCAACCGAAGGGGGTTTGGGGGTGCGGCTTAGCGCTTCTGATTGGCCGGTGGTGTGGTTTTGACTCATTGATTGCGTGTAAATTAGATCAGGTAGATTTAGGCATAAGCCGGAATTGAGTAAAATTTGCGATAATCACTCACTTGTCGGGTGCTCGACCGGAGATCTGGTCCCGAGGGAGAGAGGCTGGTGTCTGGCGTGTGGTTGCTCGCTGCGTGACGCATCGCGTATCGGGGGGCAGAAGCCGCGGAAATTACGAAGTGGCCACTAATTATCACTTCCTCGGTCAGTCGGACAGCGGCGTCCGCGTTCGTCTACTTTTCGAGCCGCGCTCGCCGGAGCCGGAGCACACAGTCACCGAGGCTCTTGAACAAGATACACTCATTCTTTGACGGTCCAGTTATGGCCCCTGCGCCCTACACGCGACGCGAGATATATCCATGAGATCTCGTGCATTGCCTCAAAAATTCAGCACTCGTAGCCATTCGTTGGAGCACTTTCCCGCATTCACCGGAGAAGTGCTCATCGCAGTACTCCCATTTCCCGGAACTGGTTCCGAATTCCGGAACTTTTGAGATTTTCCTTAATTTTTCCCGGAACTTTTGAAATTCCCAAAATGTTCCGGATCTTTTGCATTTTCCGGAACTTTCTCGGTATACTTTTGAAAAAATCTAACAGGAATCCCGGAACTTTTGACGGGCATGGAGTGAGAGAAATTGGAACAAAAAAAGTTCCGAATCCCGGAACTCTTGACGGAAATGAGATGGGAGCATTGGCTCATTGAGGTATCGTACACGGAAAAAAAGAGTTAGGGGTTATCCCTTCAAATTATGGCACGACCCCAATTCCTTGGATGATATGAGCATTTCCAATGAATTGTGGTAGTACCGCAACACTTAAATGAGTAACCTAATTTATTTGAATACTATCACAAATTGGAAATGCCCTTATCATCTATCAGCCCCTACCTCTTTTTCCCCCGCGTAATTTGCGGAGAGTAAGTGTGACTGACAGTGGAAAAGGGTAAGCCAAAATCCTTTAAAATGTACTTGTGCGTATCCTGTAATGTATTTGTTTGAATGATGAATGAGGATGTTCTAATGTTGAATGACTTGTTATGTTTCAGATAATGCTGGATAATGGGGAATTCGGGGAGTTCTCAGCTGCACTCGGAGGTCGGGCACCAGGCCTGGGCCTCGTTTCCGCGGGCAGGGCCCCTGGGCGCGTCGCAGTCGCAGGGCTTGGGAGGCCCGGGCCCGTCCCTGGGGCCCCACTTCAAAGTGCTCCCGGAGCGCGTGCCTGGGCAGCGACTTCGCGTCACCGATAACGGGGCCATCCTCCGCAATTGCGGCACCATCAGCGGTCGCAGACACTACCAGCTCCAACTTCCGGTACGCCTCTCATCCATTCCTATGTCCTCAATCTTCTACTCCACTCTCTTATCATTCAGTTGTCCATCAATCATTATTCTAATTGACGTCGAATCAACGAACAGACGGAATTTCCTCATGGAATCAAGCGATGACTTTGTTATACAGGGTGTCTAGCATCAGGATTTTCCTGATACTATCAGGATTTTAGATCAATCTGGTAATCTAGTTTTCATCAGGATTTGAGAAAAAAATCGGTCGTAAAATCAGGATTTGAGAAAAGTCGGCCGTCCGATCGGTTTATAATCAATTAACATGTTCTATACAGCTTTGCCAGCCAAAGGCAATAAAGTGCAGGTTCATTTTATTCCTGGATTTTCGTTGAAAGTCCCGGACGAATACCGAATACGCATGTGAATCTTGTCAACCTCGTCTTCAATTTATTCCGGGACTTGCCGAAAATCAGATGCGAGATTATAGAGCCAATGGGGTGGGGGGAGGGGTTAGGGGGGATGAGTTGAAACTATTTTAACACTCGAGCTAACATACACAATTAGCAGGAAGTATTGGGCCACGATATAGGAAGGAGGGAAGCCGTCGATAGTACTGTCAGTGAGAAATCCAGAATGGAGCAAGTGAGGCAGGGGCAGGAGGGGGAGGGGGGTAGGGCTTGTGTGGAGCTTCCTACTCATTTCCTCATCAAGCTAGAAAAAATAATAAAGCGGCTCCATTCAACTAAAACAAATCGAAGCGTCAACACGCTAAACGCTCTCGCGCAAACAGGATGATGTCCCGATGAAAGGAAGACATGATGTCGTCATTTTCAGGCGAAATCAACCTAATTTTTAAAACGAGAGACAATATCGGCCACTCTATTCGATTATGGTAACCGTACCCTTAATTTAGTATCCATAAACCTCTCTTCGATTTTTTATGTAAATGTAACTGGAAAGTAAGGCCAATATTTGGACCGAGTTTATCAGAAAGGAACTAACCCACATGACGTTGAAACTGAGGAAAAGAGGTTTGAAGTTTTATCCCTGCATAAGGCTCAATGTAGAAAATAAACTTTAACCCCTCTTTACACACACTAATTTCTTTTTTACGACTTTCAGATTTTGGCAAGAGAAATAAACGACTAGTGGCGATCAAAAACATTCTTAACTCAATTTTTTCGAAAATGTGGGTTTGTTCCTTTCTGATAAACTCGATCCATTTAGGACGAGGGAAAAGGGATAGTATCATTTTCGAAAAAAATCAACCGGTGGGCCCTTAGGCACGCCCTTAGTCTTTAGCGCGCCTGTATGGCAAAAGCCCTGGACCAAAGACCGAAATTGGAATGTTCTTACCGTTTGCTTTTAACTTTCATTCTCTGGCAAAAAAATATGAGAAATTCTTGCACGCAGCCGGTCAATTTCTAGATGAAAGGAACGTGAAGTTAGGAATTATACTTGCATTAGGACTCTATTATGCATTTCTATCCAAAAATTCCTGTAATTTTTCTTCTTTAGTTAGACGCAAAAATCAGCGAAATTTCGAGCAGGGATCGTGCAGTCGTATTATTGCAGCAGAACTTAAATCGTTTGAGCCAATATTGCGACGTGGAAATGGAGTTACTTACCTTCGTTTGGGAAACTACAAACTGCTCCATTCTCGAAAAACGATTCAGTATTCCGAAGGAAGCGTCACCGCACAATTTTGGATGGCCCCGAGATCGAGATAAGGACTATCCGTTTGTAGAACCTGAGACCGAGGACGTAAGGACATGTAACAAAAATAATAATAAAACGAAGGGAGTTCGGGACTCCGCCTAACATTCCTTGAATTCCCTGCCATTCGGAGATAGTTTTCACAACTTGTTGCCGCCGTTCAAGGACAGTCGAGGCATCTCTTTAAAATTTCCCGACTCCTGCGTCGGAAAATGCGGGAAGATGTGGAGCATTGACCGCCGAAAAACTTTATGAATCGAAAAAGTAGTAGAAATTCAACACCATCCAAATCGGGCGATCGTAAAATTTTCGTCTTTGTCGCGTTCGTTTTTTCCTTCTTCTTTTTGTCTTTTGTATGCTTGATGCTCGTGGGAAAAGTCGCCTTGTAAAGATGCTTGCGAAAATCTCATTTTTATGATTTTTCTCTGATGATCTCTCCTCGCTCCATAATGCGCTGACTGGATCTCTGCATGCGCCTATTTGGGGATAAGACCTATGTGTTACTTGCCTTTTATAAACCTCACCAAAATGCGCTGAAATTATGTATGGGACATTTTTATCACGACTGCCCGGCCGGGTTTATTGGTTCACCTGGCTGTCCTACTGTCGGCTCACATCAATTTTTTCCGCTCCTAGTGGAGAATTTGCAAGTACATTTTGTATTGCTCCTTCATCTGAGGCAACCTAAAGAGCTGCTCTCCTAGTATTTTTAATACTTTTTTTCTGATTTAAGAAATAATGTAATAATCGATTTAAAAGTGAGAAAATTAACTGCGTAGCACGTCATCGCGCGATATCTTCCGTTTGAACACAAGTATGTTTTAGCAGATTAGATCATTTTGATATACCTTATCCCATTATAATTGTTCAATTTATGAACTGAGCTTATCCTCTTGATCAAATCAATCAGTATAAATCCCACTTAATTCACAGAATTTCAGACACCTGAAAATTATCCATTGCTTACCTACCCCTCTCAGATTTAAGTCGTTCTCGAAGAAAACCACTCAGTCATCGAGAAAAGAAAAAGGAGGTGTTTGCATTTCGGGCATCTTGAATGACGTAGGTCGGTACAACGAGTTTATCAGCGAATTTCTTGGAAATGGTGTAATTTATGGAAAAAAGTCATTCTACAAAAAGTGCTTGAAATTATATCGTGAGTTGATTCAAGCAAAAAAATCGGACATTATGGTCCGTTTTTCATACTTCGAATTCCGGATTTCGCTGGCCAGGTTGTACCGACCTACGTCACAGGGTAAACAAACCTCAAGATGCGAACACCTCCTTTTTTTCTCTATGCCGTTCAGTTGACTGCAGACTCCGTTTTGGCCATAGCCAGGTGATGATTCCTGCTAGAGGCAGCCAAGCCTCATTTTAGTTGACGCAGTGAGTGACAGGAAGGAGGCGAAGAAAATAATGGATTTTTTTGTTCGTTTCAGGTGCGATGCCGAAGCTCGAGCCAAGGGCGGTATGAACCGGATCCCAACGCCCGGGTCGTCTACGGAAGTGAACCGGATTTGCGGTTTCCCAACCGGGAATATCCCTCCTACACTAACGAAAGTCCTGCCAAACTCAGGATTTCTCGGTCTAGGAAGAAGTATAAAGCACCACCGGCACCTCAAACCAATGGAGTAAGTAATCTTACCCATGCTCTCCCACGGCGCACGGTGGATCGAGTCCACTACAGAGGTCGGACATGAAATTTTTGACTAAAACTGCAAATTTTTATGTTTATTCTTCACATTTTAAATCAGAGGGTGCCCCTAGAAGAAAATTGTACGAAAAAACCAATGGAACTCCTTTCAGAACCTCACAGTTTTGTGTAAACGAAGTTGCAGGCGTTTAAAGTTTCCAAATTTTGTCCAACCTCTTCCATTGACTCCATCCACTGTGCGGCGGTGTGGCAATTCTGCCGTGCCAAGTAAGAACGCCGTATAAGCCATAAGGCGTTGCCAAATATCCTTCGACAAATCACGAATTTCCTGGAAAATTTGTGAATATTTTATCTCCAGGACTCCTACCATATACCACAGGATGGCGTTTGTAATTTGATCCTGCGTAAAGTCTGAAAATTGCAAGGAAAAATATTCATAACTTTCTTCAAAAATAAATATTTTCAAAGAAGAAATTTGGCAACATTCGAGCCCACACGGCATTATTATTCCGACAGTCTTGTAGGCGCTATGCGTTTCACGCCGACCGCTGCTGAACGCACTGTGTTTGACGCAATGCGTGAAGTATTCACGCAGTCTTGTAGGCGCTAAGCGTATCACGCTGACCCCTTTGTCTTTGGTGCAATGCGTGAAGTATTCATGCATTCTTGTAGGCGCTATCCGTTTCACGTCGACCGCAGTGACCGCACTGTGTTTGATGCAATGCGTGAAGTATTCGTGCAGTCTTGTAGGCGCTAATATGTGTTACATGCCGACCACCGCGCCGAGGGCTTCTCCTTTTCATCTCAAGTCCTCGTCATCATTTCTCCCTAAGTCGCGCCGTTCCAGGCCAAATTGCGTGTTGGGTTTCTCTCTTAACTCGACTAATTAAAGGTGCTGTCTCTTGTATCACTGAAAGACGACACAATTATAAATTACTATACTCTCAGGAAATGAGAGATTTTGTCGCCTTTTCTCGTTTGTAATTTTTTTTCATAATCCGATTTTTTTTTTAAAAAAATTGCAAAATTTGCCGCCCCTTTGATTTGCCATCATAGGCCGCGGCCGCGGCCCATGTGGCCACCCCTTTAATCCGGCCCTGGTTTTATCAAAGGAAATTTGGCAACGCCTGAAGGTTCATACGGCGTTTTTTCCTTAGGACGGCAGAACAACTCTAGGATGATACTTACAATGCCTGTCACATTTTTACAATGGATCACAACACCGTATGATCATTCATATCATAACATTAACTTAAAAATTTCACTCAATAATATGTTTCATACTTATCAAGGTTCAATTTGTTTCAGCAGTTGGATAGCTCTTCTCCCGACTCGTACCAACATTGGGAAAATAGTGGAAATAGTTCTGAGGTAACGGCTCCAGTTCGGAGGCTACGCCTGTTCAAGACAAGAGCTGAAACCAGCAAGAAAGTTCGCGGAGGCCCGGAAGGAGAGAGCACTCATAGTCAAGATGCCTCCCTGCGACAGTCTTCTGCTCATAATCACAGACCTCCACACATCGGCCAATTGCAGAGAAGTCTGTCGTCACCTCAGTTCCAGGTGCAACACAAGGTATCCATCCAACTCCTCCTAAGCCATAAAACAGTGACCATCAGGTTTTTCCTTATAGAATAGAAAATACTCCTTGTGTCTGTCGAAGGCAAATAGTCAAATCAGGCATTTTGTCAAATGCCTAAGCAAATAGTCAAATACTCTTACTCAAATTGAAATTTTGACTTTTTACCCTAATTTTAGATAAAATAATTAGTTGCTCCTGTGAGAAAGAATCCTTTGTATAAATATGCAGCATACAATAGTATTTTAAACGATTTTAAGATCCTGAATGCATATTTCTCATGAAATTTTCAGCATGTCATAAAACATAGAATTTCTAAAATTTTAACATTTAAATGTACCAAAGGCATGTGAAAAGGGAAGAACAAGGAGAGTTCGCGGATTTGAAGAGTTTTTCTTCCCAAAATATTGAAAACCTGTGAACTCCTTGCCATTAATTTACCTACAGAATTCCGTAAACTGTCAAAATTTGACTATCGGCCTAGGCATTTGATAAAATGCCTGATTTGACTAATTGCCTTCGACATCTCTAAACTTTTGATCAGTCCCTTCAAATCTCATACAGAAAGTCCTATTCTGCTATTCTTCAATAGCAGAATTTGTTCAAGAAAATTGCTTCTCGCAATAGTGATTGGTGAGCTTAATTCACGTTATCTTTAATTTAGTAGAGTAAGAACCACAGTCCAATCCACCTGTAGGGTGAACCTTCCCCTGCATTCCAGTGGAAGTTGCATTACCATTAATAATAGAAAAAATTTTCTCTTCAGAGGTTGGAAACATTGCAAATGGGAGTATTTGATTGTTTTACTTCAAGCTGTTCGACTTATTTGAGAAGATGACTGTACCAGACTGAAATCTGGCCTGCAGTGCTTTAAAATGTTTTTAATGTTGTCAGTGTTTTTAAATCAGGGTTTCATTCCAAGGCACTCATTCATTTCAAATATAATGGATTTTTTATCATTATAAATTTTTTTTTAATTTCAGGCTGAATTAATGAAAGCAACCGAAAGAATTAGGATGCAAAAAGGTGTTCGTGAGCCACCAGTCGGAAGAGCAGCTGAATCGCCATCGTCCTCTCCCATTTTACGTTCACGTGAAAATATTGTAACTCAGCGACCATTATCAAGGAATAGTGTTGATTCCAATAAAAAACCTGTAAGCAAACAATCAGAAAAAGAAATGAGGCCCAGAACAAAAATTGAGGACAAGAAAGCATTAGAGAACAAACAACCTCCCTCGAAAGAACGACTGGTGAAAAAGGAATCAACTAAAACAAGACCAACAGAGCCAAGGGTACGCGGAGAGGGGTCCACCGGTCGTGAATCCACTCCAGAGATCATACCAAGGAACAAGCATAATGCAGATGGAAAATCATGGGACATGTAAGATGTCATTTCTCTTTTACAATACTAAACATGTTTCTTTGTTGTAAGAGGTTTCTGTCGAAAAACAGGGCTTCCTTTAGAAACAAGTAAAAAAATAGACAAATAATTTGCTGAGTAATCATTGCAAAAAGTGATGAATACAATTAATTATTTTTCACAACTTATATGCACTATTTCTGACTTTGAACTTTTCTGTGAAGCCAGTACTTAGAAATGTTTTTACAAAACTCAATTATCTTCTGAATGTTGCTTATTTTACAGTTGAACATGTCTCCAAATTCATAGTGTTTAGATCATTCATCTGAAATGAATTCATACAAGTGCATAATGTATATGTATACCATTTTTCTAATTAAGCAAAACATTTTTTCAACTCTTCCTTTCATTTTACATACCCCTTTAATATTTGTTGTTGTTGTTTTTCGTCTTCAGAATACCTACAACAAAACCAATGGCACCAGTGAAAACTTTCTATTTTGGTATGGACGGAACTGGAGTTCCACCCACTGACTACTTGCGAGAGAGTGAGGCTGTAGAAAAATTTGCTGCAAGTTTGCAAACATCTTTACCCGCAAACTTAAGCAATGAAACATCAAACTCTGAAAGCATCAGCAGTGAACATGCAGGAGATGAGGTTTGTTCTACTTATTTTTTCTCATTATAATTTGATGAAATTCCTAATTACACCTATAAAAGAGAACTGTGCTCCAATGAAAATTATCTAAAAAATGTTTTATGAAATGAAATGCCAAGAGAACTTAGGGGCGGGATATCAACATTAGAGCAATATTTTAGCTTTATTGAGGTATCCTATTTAATATGTAATTGCTCTTTAGCCAGGAACTGACTCATTGAATTTATATTTCATTCATGCATTACAGGTGTGTAAAATGCGAGGAATGCGGAGGTGATTTTTAGGTCTCTGCCCACAGAATATTTGTAGTAAATAAGACTTAGTAGGATGCCAACATTTATTTGTAGAGAGTGTTATCCCAGGAATTAGGTCAAGGACGAAAAGGAACGAAAAGGGCTGACCCGGACGATAGTGCAAGCAGAGAGACCGGAAAAAGGAACTAGAAAAAGTTGACTTGAATGTCAGGACTAGCTTTTTGGTTGGACAGACAAAAACTGGAAAACCTGGTGAGATATCTTGATAAAGGGAATTTCAACATGCTCATAAAATTCTATCAGCAGGCATTCAGATGGGACTAACTTAGACTTACATATACATATATACCTAACATTCATACGTGTATGACTTATATACATGAATCAAAGTCAAAATTGTGTTATTTGGGGGCAAAATTGATATCGGTTTGATTTTTCAGAGTGGTGGTGAAAACAATGGAATCTCCTTGCAACTTCGACCAACTTTACCTAGGAAGCAGTTAGACATACCAAGATTTAGTCCAACAGCTGCCTGGAGATTGTTGTCAGCCCTGGAGTCACCAGTGCAAAGTGAGGAAGATGACCTCGTAATGTTGGAGGAGCGAATCCCTTTGCCGGCCCCACTGCACCATCATGAAAAATCGGGAGACAGTGGTATAAGTGGTGATGCCAGTCCTCATTCCACTCATAACTCTCAGGTGAAGAAACACCGTCTTTACACTCTCTTTTTCTTTGATGACACTAAGGCAACCAGCTTTTTTTAAATGTGAAAGTCGCTTAGTTGAAATTTTTAGCATGCTGCTCTCTGGGAATGGCAATCAATGTTGCTAGAATCTTTTTTTTAACCAAGGTAAATAAACTGAGATTAATTACAAATCTGGAGAGAATGTCAATGTTTATGGGTTAAGGAAAATAATGTGGACCAAAAAGAGTGGAAAAAGGAAAGACACGGATGTTCAGTTTGAAGGGCTTGCTGTGTAAGTTTGTTTTAACCAGTAAAGTTGTTCTTTTTCCCATCCTTTTTTTAAGTAGCCAACAGACAAATCTGCAATAACACCTCCTGTAACTTATTGCTTAATCCCCACCTGTCCTAGCAGACTATCGAATTAGGATCACCTGGCCGGGAATCAAACCAAGTACCTTGCCATCACAGAGCAGGTGCCTAAGATTTGCGTACTCTCCTGCAGTCAATAATCAATGACTGAGTACAAAATAAATTCATCTTTTTTTTAAACCCCTATCTATCTGAAATCTCTTCGTTCACCTTTCATTTTTTATATTTTTGCACTTCCTCCCATGATTAGGTCGTCTTTATCATTCAAAGATTAATTCATTATTGCCAGAAGTGAAATGGAAATCATATTAATTATCAAGATGAATAGGGTTGAAAATGGCAAATTACGGGGAAAGATATATTGTTTTTGCAGCTATTGATTCAATGAAGTTTGCTTGGGTTCTAAGTCCCTGCTGCTAGGTTCTATGTATCTACAATTTGGACTTTTCGCAGCTAAAAATGAATAAAAACCAATTTAAAAAACTTTTGTGGGACTGATCATTTTTGGTTGCATATTGAAGTCACTTATATCATACCCTGTTTTATTTTTTAACATTTTATTCTATTGAACTATCAAGTACTCAAATAACTCTTTTGGATGATTTTTCTGTACAGTACATAACCAGATGCAAGTATGCAATTGCGTTTTGTCAGCTGCTACTTTATTTCATCATCAATACCTTTGTCGTTAGCATTAGTACCTCTCTTTTTAACTCCTGTCTTAATTATTTCAGGCTGCATGGACACCTCAACAGGATTTGGAAGAAACCAGTTCCGATGGAGGTCTTGAATCAGCTCCAGTCTCGCCAGAGAGCCTGGGAACAGCCAAATTCTCTCCTCGGTTTTCCTTGTCATTACCAAGAGATGATAGACTATCATTGTATGTCAAACCAGACAAGGTAATAAAATGCATTGTAAGCCAACAATCTTCAGTTTTTTTGTGATGAAATTTGTTGGTTTCAATAGTTGATAGCTCAGCAGTAAAACTATTAAAAACCCCAAAGGGGCAAAAAGTTAGCTCACTTTCAATAAAAATGCTACTTAATTTTTTTTTTTTTTTTTTTTTTTTTTTTTCATGAGTTTTTCATGGTAATTTTGTCCTAAATTTTGTATGAAGCATAAATTACAGTTGAAATGCAGGGCTCATTGGGAAGGGTCAGAAATCGGAGAGAGTGTGATTGGTATAATTAACCAGCCTTGCTGATCCTTGCAGCAATGAAGGAATCACCCCCCCCCCCCTCTCCACACACACACTCCAACAAATCCTCTTTTTTGCTAATTGTTCTCCTTTTGATAGTCAGTTGTCCAAGTGGTTACAATTTTTATCCTAAAAACTTATGTGCCCAAATGAAAGAGTGCTACCTTGTTCTTTCTTTTGATGGAAAGAAAGATAATTTTAATGTATGCATTAGTGAGAGTAAGGAAGGTGTATGGTGAAGAGAAACTACTTCTCAAATTTAGAACTTCATTTTTTTATGACCTTCCAAGCTCCAACTCCTCTCAGTGTTGCATGACCTAGAGAAGATAAGTCCTAATGACTGTGGCTGTGGCACACTAATTGAATATCATCCAATTTATGCTCTGATAATTATGCTAATTCAAATGAAGGTACAGTCTGGCCTGACTCAGCCACTTGCAACAATTCTCAGGTCATTACCTCTTCTGGAGCTGCTGCATTCAGTTGTTCTGTATCTGTGCTCTTAATATTTCTCTGTGTGCATTTTCTTTTTTGATTGTGTTTTTATTTTTGGATATTTTTTGTTGAGCTAAGATGAGTGAGTGTCAAGTTATTTTCTTGGGTAATTTTCTTATTTCCATATCTTCTCGTAGTGTTATCCCTTTTCTAAAATTAAAACATCTTCGAAGAAAGTCGAGGAGAATTTTATTTATATAGTTAGTTAGTAGTAGGTGGTAAGTGATGTAGTAGGTTAGAAGGAGTAAGTAGAGCCTGGCACCTTTACTCTCTAGCATTGTATTTAAATGTTGAATTTTTGTGTGCCAAGATCTCATTTGTGGCAAATAACTGAATAGGTGTGACTTTAATTGATGTTTATCAAAATTTGCAATCAAGTACTTATGTTTAAAAATAATATATAATTTTTCAGATGGGATACAGTGATAGCCATCAGCCCTCAAGTCTTCATAGTCTGAAAAAACTCCGACGGTCCGTCAGTGGAGCATTTGGAAGAAGTGTAAATAGCAACAATCTGTCTCATGATAGTAATTTGAATGAGAATTGGGTTTTGAGTAGAAGTGTGCCAAGTTCATTGAATCATCGATGGAGTGATTCTTCTCCAGAAAATGTTAGTATTTTTATTTATTTCATTTCATATTTTTGTCATTTATCTCTCAAAGCTGAAGCATAGTAGAATTTATTTTATTTTATTCATCCAAAATCTTGTGTATCCTCAAGAAATATTTGTTTGCTCAGACTTGGCAATTTGCCTTGCATATCCACTGAAGATTCTAATGATGTATGACCCATTTCAAATCCATAATTGTTGGGGTTAAAAATATTTCTCAGCTGAACATTTGGTTTTCCTTTACATGAAATCCCAAGTTCTATCATCAAGTTAGTATTTTCTGTCAGTCACAAAGTATTCAGATAGGTATGTATTTTTATAAAACTACTTCCTCTATTTCTATATTGGCTTTATTTTTCCATCACTCTAGAAAGCTCTAAAGAAAGAATAACTGTTTAAAAAATCACAACTTATTGCGCATGCAGGCACATGAATTCTACGTTAAAAAATATTTTTTTAAAAAAAAAAAAATCCAATTATTCCTCCAATTCAATCTCAAGCCCTTTCATTTTATTTTTTTTTCTTTCACTTCTTTAATTGCATCTACTCTAGCATTTATGCTTTTGTTCGTTTACAGCTTTTATTTCAGCCTTTTTTCCCTTTTTTTGGCCTCTAGTCTCATTTTTTCAACTGATTCTAAATTTCTCTCTGCCTTTGAATTTTTTTTTCTAGGAGGATGATCTACTTTTAAGTTCTCTTACGAAGCAGCCATCATTTTCATATTTAGCAACTGGAGGCCATGTTATGTATCTTCCTGGACAATTACCAGAAATTAATCCAATAAGTGTTTCGACGATTAAGAATTCTGAACCGTAAGTGTGGCTTAATTGCTTCCAAGTTAGTTTCATTTGTTTTTTTCATCTTTTACAAAGTTGATTTGCTTAAAAACGGAGTTTACTTACGAGCAAAAGATTACTATAATCAAAGTCTCCTATATATAGCACACAAGCCTCAAGAAAGGAATGTAAAGAAGAAGAAAAATGAATACATGAATCAGGTAAAAACAAAAAAAATTGGACAAGATGGTCATTTCAAGAATTTGCTTATCCCCTCTGAGTTAATAACCTAGCCACTATTGAACATACAGAAATCAAAATCCTTGTTTCATAAGCGCATATTTATGTTGGAAAAAGAAAAAAATTTTGTTTGATTTTTCTTTATTTTTCTAAGGATCCCTATAAAAAGTTTTTGCTCAATATTCTGGTAGTTCTCAAAAGGTTTAATACCTTTGCATGAAAAAAAAAAAAAAAAAAAAATTAAGAATACAAGTGCAATGCGCCCGCTTGAATGTCATCTGATACTTACTTGATTTCACAGTTTCATCATGGATGCATGCACATAGGTATTTGCATGGCTACAAGAATTTCTGGACTGACTGTAGCATGTTTTTTCAGGAGCTCCTTACAACATAATGAGCCTCAGTCAATGTCAAAATCCTGCGATGCATTGAACAGTAAGGAAAGTGCTCCCTGCAATCCTCCTAGGTTCAGAACTGGTCGTAAATTCACTTTCCAAAGTACCGTGCGTCAAATTGAGAGGCGACGCATAGCTGAGAAACTATCAAAGGAGGCAGAGCAAAAAGGTAAGTGAATTTCCTTTACTTGAACTTTCCTCTGAAATTTTAGTGGCTCATTCTCTTTGAATACTCATCACAAGAAAGACCAGAGTCTGCATGAATTAAATTGCGCCCTGAAATAGTTTTTACTGGCCTTTGAATCAAGCAGTGTTCATTGCTCGCCCTGTGATGTACAAAATGTGAACAACATGCAACAGCTAAGCCAAAGCGCAAAGGTTGTCATATTTTCAAACCACAGAGACTGTATCGGCAACGTTTGGTGTTTGATTTAACTCAAGTAGCCTATAGTTTTTTTATGGTTTTATTGGAGTATGGATAGTTTGAATTTGTGCCTCAAAAATCGTTAATATCCACGAGTTACTTTTAAAAAATTTTGATGCACCAAGTGTTTTATGTGAAATTTTGATGAGAAAACTTGTAGCGTAAAGTTTTTTGCACCCTGACGGAAGGTACATATTGCTTTTTTTAATGTAAATAGACCTAAAATTTCTGAATGAATGTATGCACAACATAGTTAACTGCTGAGTTTTTGCATCTCCAAGTCATAAACTTTAATTGAAACATATTTTGAAATAAGAAGTTATTATTTCTGACTCATTTTGGAAACAACATAATATGTCTCAATAGTTTTCTCATGCATATAATTGCTTTTATGAATGACCTAAAAATTCTTATTAAATTAGTGTATTCTTAGAAAATTCTTATCTCTCAGAGTTCATAATTCTTTTCTATCTTGGTGCGTGATTTCAGAGCGACAAAGACTGAGTGAATTGGAGGCCATGAGAAGAGTAGAGGAAGAATTCCAAAGAAAACGAGAGAGAGAGAAAGCTGACATCAGGCATCAGTTACGGCTCTACAGCCTTACTCAAGGAGGAAGAGAGGCCAAAGAAGCTACCGGTGTCAATTTACCACCACCACCATCCACACAAATTCTCTCGGAATTTCGTGAGCCCAGGAGAGATTATAGAGACTACAGACCATCCAGGTAATTTGACTATGAAAGAAAGATTGACCAGATTATCTCATTTGGTGGGGCTCAAAATACATTTAAACAAAGTATCTAATGCCAGCTTCCGGAGGATCTCTACCATGACAGATTCCTGTGGAGAGTAGGCGTCGCAAAGCGCCCTAGCGCACCGTAAAAGCGGCTTATACATACACATATCTATGCAATACTTACTATTCTTCCCCCCCCCCATCTCTTTTCTGTTTGAAGCTCTTCGTTTGAACTTCCAAAATGTGAGAAAGATTCCTCAAGTCATTACAAAGTACATCCTGTTTAAACGCAATCTTCTATTCTCTAAAGGCATTAAGTACCGACGTGTTATGTACATGTCTTAACCTCATAAAATTAAGGAAGTAAACATTGATGTTTCATGCAAAAGTTAGAAGAACCAGGAGTGGACAGGCAGGCGGGAACATAGGGAAAAATCCCATTCAGCTGATCGATATTGAAGGTGATCTTGGACCAGTTTGTCCCCTTTCACATGGAAAAAATCGGCTAAAATGGGCCAGTATTCCTGCTCACTTTATTGGTGCTTCTTTGCCCTTGAGAAAAACCAATAGTTACTCACAGTAGATGATAAAATACTAACCTGAATCACCTTCGATGAACCTTGAGTATGTGATGGCAATTATAATGATAATGTCAATAATTAAGATGCATTTGTAAAAGTCAATCTTTTCAGTTCTTTCCATGATGTACATTTTTTTTTCTTTTTCTTTTTGTCTTTTCTTTTGTGCGTGCCTAAAGTTTGTGTAGTTTGTAAGGGCTCCGGTTCATTTTTCTTTGATTGGTAGACAATTTTATATCTTTTCAGGAGTGATGCTGAGTCTGCGCACTCTGATTCAGGAGTCAAAAAGGCCACCGTTCATCCTCAAGTTGTTTACCAAATGCCAAAAACAACTCAGGTGTATGTCACACCACGCCTTCATGCCAATCACTCAGGTATTATCTTTTTATACCCTCATCCTATTTTTCTCTTCTTCGACTTTGTTTGTAGAGTGTAACCCTTTACAGATTCCATCAGGCAAGAAGCAAGCCTGCGGCACTAGAAACCATTTAACTTGATTATATAAAATCAGAAATAATCTATGAAATTTTTTCTTTTCTGATTTTTCTTCTTTTCTCCTTTTGCCACTAGTATTCTGCTGTACATTTCACCGTACAAATTTAAGTCCCTTTGTATTGATCTGTGGGAAAGTATGGCTAAGCCCTGAAAGTTTTGTGAGGTACAATAACACCTCGATTATCCAAAGATTTGTGATGAGGACCATGTTGGATATAGAAAGAGTCGGATAATTGAAGCAGCATGAACAACGTTATTTATTTGTGTGGAGGCAGGGGGAAGCTCACCCTGTTGACAGAAAAAAGACGTGATTGTTCTTTGTTTCTGCATATATGATTGTTTCCTTGCAGTTAAATTCGGTCATTTTCTGAATTTAATGATGTCTGCAGCTGAAACCTCAGGTTATTTGTTGAAGTATTCAAGAGGTGCAGCATTTTGCTGTCCCGGTCCTAACAAGCTATACAATTGTAAAGCTTCATCTCTCATTATTTCTTCGGAGTTGATCTACTCCTCCTTTCTGTTGGAGCCACGAATAAATATCTTCATCATTTAACAGTTGATCCCAACAGATCTTTAATCATAATCGCCCACTTTTTATAATTTTATTTTTCATGCCAACTCACCATCTCTATTTTGCCCTTTTAATCAGGTGATGTTGAAATGCCCTCTCCTAAATCGTCATCATCGGATAACTATCGGCGAAACTTTGCCCAAGGTGCTCTACCTCACTCTCTGGCCAGTTCAGATTCTGAAATTTCCCAACCCAATACCCGACCAACTTCCCGGAATCTGGTCTATCGCAGCAGGTACCTAATTTTATTATTAAATATTCTTGTCCTATCACTTAACCCCTCTAAGTACTTAAATTTAGTACTCAAAACACTCTTTTAGACCCCTGTACTAAATCATTGGTGATTCTTAATCTTAAAATGTGAAAAAATCAGTGAGGAATACCCAAGGAGCATAAATTGCAATAATAAAGGTATTGTATCAGAGTGTGGTAAATGATGTCTATTCACTAATTAAAGGGGCTCCTCTTATTTAATTTTATTGAAATAAAATTGAAACAAATTGCAATTTTTTTTTTTTTTTTACATTTTTGGATTACAAATATGTACCCACTTTTCTCATATACGGAACTCACAAAGTTGATTGTTTTAAAGAAGCATTTATTGACCAAATGATGTAGAAATATTGTAATTTCATTGCATAATTATTTCTAAATTTCTGTTGCACTGTGCTACTTGGGTAAAAAAGGGAACAATCCAAAACAAACGAGAAAACAAATTTTTCCTAAATGTGAACTTAATGCAGCTGGTTTAAGATCTTGTAGACTCTCCAAGAGGCTTGAAATTAAATAGTCCTTTTGACAAGTAAGAATCTTTGTTTGGTACATTACCAAGACTTTCCTAAAAAAAAACCGAAAGTCCGCCTGCTCTGAGCAAACTCTTGTAGATACTAGGATACAAGCAGAAACTTGTGGCGTTTATAATTAGCGTTCTAGTGAGCCTTCATTGAAGTTTTTAGTCAAAAATTCGCATTTCTAAGCGATTCGAATGTCTTGAAAGCTCCAGAGGATTTTTTTTACATGTGACCAGAAAATCGTCTCAGAAATGTGAATTTTTCAACAAATGAGCTCAAGAAGGGCTTGTCAGAGAGCTATTTAAAATTAGCAGAGTCAATAAATATTTTTTTTTCCTTTTGACAAGAATTTTAATTTTGAGATAAGTTTTAAACAAAATCAAAAGGTCATCCAACATTAAAACTATGTTATATGGCTAAATCAGGTCTCTCTTAATTCAGTTAGTTGAGGTAAAACCTATTTTCTAGCATGTGCAATTCTTTACTGATATTCATTCCCAATCCTCTTGCATTTTTACTACTTTAAGATCCTTTTCAATGACTTTGACTTTGACTCTTGGAACTGATGTAGGTCGCTTTAAATCACCAGAATATTGCAAGAATTTAATTGTGTCAATTGACTTAGATTTTGTTATGAGAGGGGGCAGACCGGCAGAGGGGTTGCAGTTCCAAAAGCAAATAATAAGTTGCTTTAAATGACGTTTCTCCGAAACTTCTTTACTACAGATTAGCTTTCCTGCTCCTAACTTTTTTTCGCTCTAATGGCATGTTCCAACCAACCTCACCCCTCCTCTACCATAGCATAAAAATATTCTTAACATCAACTAACTTATTTTCCAACTCGGCTTTCAGGGATGATTGTCCTCTCTGAGTTGTTTGAACATGCATATCAATGACAAAGTAAAGAACTCGCCATTCATCAAATTAGTTAAGGAGGGATGTCGAATATTTTGGAAATTTTGGGGAAATTGACACCTGAGTTAATTATGGAAATCCAAAAAACGTATTAATACGACTATTATAAGAGCATTATCCAAGCTAATCAATGACTCATCAAGCACTATATGAATTCAGATAAGAACTGCTTTCACATCACAATGTGAGCTTTTGGCCGAAGAAATGAAGCTTAATTAAAAGTTAAGTCATTTCACCTCTTAATTTTTTCATTTGAAAGGATGCAAGTTCCTCTGTGATTTTTGTCAATACTTCTTGACTTATTCACTGTGTACATACTAAATGACTCATACTAACATCTAATACCTATATTTTCGACTCGCAGGTTTTAACTCGGTGTTGTGAATCTAACCAATCTAGTCAACTTAAAATACCTAATTCATTACGCCCTTTTTGTTAATAATTCATCAGGTTTGTATATTTCTAATTATTCTTTCTTCCTTTTTTTTCAAATTTTATTTTATATATTACAAGTTTTTTTTTTCAAAAATCAAGGAATATTGCAGAAGTTCTTGCAAGGTGTGTTTTACCATGAGCCTAAAAAGCATTTCTCTCAATTCTTTTGGGAAATTCATTGACTAACTTTTTTTTATTCAGGAGATGGCCTTTTGATTTTGTTCTTGTCTACTCTTAAATTCTAATTGAATCACTGTGTCTAAAAATAACCCATCTCCAAAATAATGAGGACTTAGTCTCACAGAAAAAATTATGTTTAGGATCTAATGCAATTTTTTGAGCAAACTTTTTCTTTTTTGAGTTGTCATGAAATTAATATTAAAAAATCATCACTAATGCAGAATAATCCTGACTTTGGATACTTGACACTGTGTTAATCTGAATATCAGAAAAGCGCAAATTTTCACCCAAATGGGTGGAACACTGAAAGCAGTGTTGATTTTTGTTACTTAAACTTTTATAACATAAAAACAGTGTCCTTGGGTGGGCCGTATATGAAGTCCATGGGTTGTCTCACTCCCCATGCTCTTATTGGCTGCTCCTCCACTTTGTGATATCAGGCGTACGGACTTTTTAAAATAGGGAAGCGTTTTTCCATATACTTTTGGTCCACACGCCGTCCACCTAGGGAAGGTTTGGACGATACAGATATGTCCACATGCTTGGGATCACGGCATATGAACTCAAGACTTAATTAAGATATTATCAGTCCCTGACTCCTACCGATTAGACATCATTACAATTTCATGGAAATTGCTCTTTCATGAATATCTTTTATATATGTCTCTTGGTTGGAATCAGGAAGTATGATAAAAAGGTTTACTGTCTCATTCTATGTCCACACAGGTTTCTGGCGCCCTATTTGATTTTAATCCGTCCCTATTTTCTCATTTTTCAGATCAGTGAGTCCTCAAGCTGATGAAATGAATAACTGTATCAGTCCTATATTGAACAATGGGATCATACCAGAAGAAGACGAAAAAAAAGTGCAGCCTGTAAGTTCACTTCTTCCTCTTCTTACTCCAGCCCCTTTGTATGATCCCAATTTTTGACAGCCCTTTTTGCCTCAACCCTCAGCTGTATTAGGCTTGAATTTATTTCCAAGTTGCAATTTTTGTGAGTGTTGGAAATTCATTTTAGTCACTGAAGTCTCTATCGACAATTTTTGAGCACTAGCCGTTTTCAAATTTCCACAAAAAAATCGTTGACATGAGTGGAATCAGACTATAGCAGCGGCCTTCTTGTGATAAGTTTCGGGGAAGGTTAACACCTGCTGCACAAATTAATATTTTATTCAATTAAATTGAATGTTTTAGAGTGTATATAAATTACATTCCTTGTTTAGAGTTGCTCCATATTTTCCCTTACAATCACAGACAATTTTTCTGTGAAATTGCGCGATCCTAGGGCTCCTTTTCAAATGTCTTTGAGGAATTTGGCAACCCTATAGCGCTCACTAGCACTTTCCACCCCACATTGTACGCAGCACAATAGTGGGTTCAATCGATTAAAGCAATATGCGTTTTTTATTTTTTCTGCATTTTTATAGACTTATCAAAAATCCAATTTTTGAAAGAATCTCTCGAAAACACATAAATAAATCAAAGAAATTCTATTTAATCCGAAACCCCTTTTTCCATAGGTTTAAATGTATTATTTTTCTCTTGATTTCAGAGCAATGAAGGGAGACCACAGCCATTACCCCGTCTTGGTGTAACATCTTTGCAGCCATTTGTTCGAGGCAAATCTTATCGTCCGATTGTCTTTAATCCGTCAAATAGTAATGTTGCTCAAATCGCTAGTTAAAATGTGTGTGTAATTTTCAAAGCATGTGCAGTGTCTTCCTCCATATTAGAGAATATTTTTTTTCACTCTAAAGCTTTGAATTGAATTCTATCTAAGTCAACAGACCCCTCAGAAATGCTGAATGTCAATCAATACGTAGTTATTCAAGGCATTAGATATGAAGAGACCTCAATAATCTGTCACTTCCGACTTCTTTGTCCAGGCAGTTAATAACTGTAGGGTCCAAGCAATCATTTTCTTCCTTCCTTTTTAGTTACAAATCATTTGTGCTGAAATGAATAATAATATTTTTTTTAAAACACATTTTCAATTTGGATTCAATTAGATATCCAAGTCAATCGCACATTAACAACCAGAATTTACTTTTGATCAAATATCATAGATCTTCTTCCTGATTTTGATGATCCAGTCCAAGATATACAGTCAACTTCCCATGATTTGTAAATGACAGAATCAACTAGATTTGCAGGATTGTGGAACGCTTTCATTGGGTAGTTTTGAAACGTATACTCTTCCCTGGGGTTTCTTTGATGGAATAAGTAAAAATTTTATTACTTAGTTTTAACCTTATATCAGTATTTATTTTTTTGCTTGAATTCATTTTGTGTTAGTGTGGCTCACTGACTTCATTTGTACTTTCACAATTTCATGATTTTAAATGAAATGATTACGTATCAAATGAGCAATATTTGGAGTTGGAGATTATGGAAAATGGAGTTGAAAGAATCAAATTTTATTCATTCAATTAGTTTTCCACATACTTCAATTTTTTATTTTCACCATTGTTGAATTAGCTTGTACGCTTCAATGTAATGAGCTAATTATGGGAAATTCCCAAAATGTAACGGAAACCTACTCGCTCTTCCACTCAGTTTATTTAGTTGTCTATCATTAAAGTAGGTATCATTTAGTATCTTTTGTGCCTTTCACTTTTCTTTCAGAGAAATTAAGAATTACAATAATTCTAGTCATTACTTTCCTTTATCATCTTCAGTTTTAATGTTAAGTCCTCCTTCTCACTTATTGACCCTCTTCTTACCATAAAGTAATTTGTTAAACAATTGTTACTTATCAGTGCATAGTTACTGTCCAAAAAGCTAACTTTCGACAAAAAAAATTCAACCTTATTTGTATCCTTCATTCCACAAAAAGTAATAATTGACTCCTCTATTTATAAAAATGACAAGTCTTAACCAACATTGAATTTGTTTTTATAAACCATTTCATTACCTTCAACCAACTACCCACAACTTTTTCAGACAGAGTGTATTTGTTTGCGCAACAACCATTCTCCACTGTGAGGTGCGCATTCAGAATGTAGCTCAGTAATGATAAGGTTAATAACTTTAATTTTATAAATTGCTGAACATTTCCTAGTTTTAATTTTAATTTCATTCATTCATTTTATTTTGATTTACAATTCCAAGCCCATTGAAAAAATTTTGAATCTGTTTCCTCTTTCATTCTTGGAACTTTCAAATTTCGTTATCTGTGAGAATGAATTTGTAATATTTTTTTAATTTTTTTTTTTTTAATTCTGCTTTTTAAGGTACCTTTGCTCATCCTCGGAAGTTAGCTCTTTGCCGTTCCTTCATTGTTATCTGTTAAATATACAGTCTTGAGTTGTTGCTCTGTAATTTTTGTTGAGCTTTTAAAAACTGTCTTCCCTTAAAAATTATCCTCTTTTGTAGAGCAATTTTTTGTGGACCCAGATGTTTGCTTAAGGCAGAATTTTAGTCTATTAGAACTCTCTTATAGGGCGCATTTTTTGTTAGTGCTCTTTAAGATTTTCTCTCCTCCCTTACAAACCTGTTTGTTGTCCCATACAACCAATATCACTTTCTGTTGATCCCTTCTTCCTACTTATTAAACTCAGGTATCGGGTACTATTTACATGTTGTTACTAAATATTTTCTATTTTGAAAGTTTATTCAAGTGTTTGTAAATCTTCAGTTTTATATTTATGTAAATAGGACAGGTACATATTGCAAATAATTTGTACATACGTTCCAAATTGTTTCAATTGGTATATTTTACTGATGAAAGTAAAACATTCATAAGAATCAATACATTTCTTCTTTAGTCTTTCTTTTTTCTCTGATTGATTTTTAAAATGATTGAAATGTTTCTCTCAATGGTATGCTGCATTTGTCTTTGCAGCATGGAAGCTTAAAGTATATTTTCAAAAGACAAATTTTCTAGATTATATTTATGATAGTGATGGTTTTCACTTCTATGAGAGGTCAATGAAATTTATTTTTGAAGCTCAATATGTATGCAGGCACAATTTTTCTCTATTATGACTGTATCCAATTTCTAAATTTTAGCTGCCTGATCATTTTAAAAAAAAAAAGTCCAGGAAAGTCCACCGGACTCCTTTCTGCCTGTGCGGGGGGCTATGAAATATCCTCCATCCTCTGGTAAAGTGGCTGTTTTTACAGCTTGCCCTTTCATCAAACCTACCGCATACCAAAACCAAAAACTTTTGCTCTAAATAATTCATAGATAAGTACATTAATATCAGTATTAACACTTCTAAAATGTCTAAATTATGCCTCCAAAGACTAATCCACAAAGTATCTTTTGTATCTCAGAAATATTCATGGTGTCTGACAGTCTCCATGTAAATTATTGAAATATTATTTTATCAAATGAATATGTAATCCTCTCTCTCCAAAATAGTCTCTTAGCTTTCTAAAGCCATTTTTTTCTGTTATTAGTGTGTGCTATCAAAGAGTGCTGTGAATCTTAAAGCTACGGTTGCAGCTATACTGAAAAGAAGGGAGGAGCCTTTTTCTCATAACTCTTGTTCATTTGTAATCGCTTTTAAGGTACTGGGAAGATGCTCAATCTGCCCATCTTTTCAGAGTGGCCGTTTTTATCCTGGCATGTTCAGTAGTACTTTTGAGAATATCAACGGAGATAATATTGCAAGAGAAGTGGAGGTATCCAATAGATTAGCATTTCATATTACTTGACAGTGTGATCCAAAATGGGCTTTGTAATCGCTTCTTTTTTTTTTGTTATAATGATTGCTAATGTCAGTGCATGTCTCAGTTTTCCCCCCCTTTTGTTTTTCTTTCTTTTTGAAAGTGAAATTGTGGAATACGTGTAAACTGAAGGAGAGAAGAGAGCACATTAATTCGAGAAAAACTGTAAAAGTTTCAATGTGTTATTGGCCTTCGTACAAAAACTGTTCTTGGATTTTTTTATTTTTTTTTTTTTTTGAGAATTTCCATCTACGGCTTATGCAGCTCTTGTGCCGAAAGATTAGTTCTTAACATATATCAACCAATTTTCATGTTACACTTTTCTTAAGTATCAACCAAATGAATAAATTTGTATCTGTTATATTTTTTAAACAAAAAAATAGTGTATTTTCCTTGGAAAATACTCTAAAAACAGTTGATAAGTACAGAGTTTAAACCATTGTTAAAGTAATCTAACCTGTATTTTATTTTTATTAGAGTGTAAACTGTTTTCATTCTTTTTTTCTTTTATTCAATTGTAGTATAAATCTTCAAAATAAAACATGTGTATAATTTACCTATGTTCTTTTAGTTAGTCTTGAAATGAACCTAGGTCAAAATTATCTTGATTGCTCCTTAGATATGATGAAATCCTGCAAAACCAGGGACATTATTCCTAGTCATCCCTTTCCCTAGAGCTCCTTTCCCTAGAAGGGCCTTATATAATTTACATTGTGATTATGGAAGCCTTTAAAATAGCATCATTAAAAGGAAAATTTTTATAAGCCTCAAGTGAAAATCAAACCGAAAAACTTCGGAAATAGATCTTTGCAAAGGATCAACAACAAAACTTGAAAAATTCTCTGATTTAAATGATGTGCAAAATGAATATGGACCTAAGTACCTTAAAATTTTCATGGTTTGCAAAAAAATTTTCTTTTATAATTTATTTTATTTATTTTTTGTGTGAAATCGTGCTGACTCACAGAGAACCATATCCGTACCTACAGGTAATGTGAAACATCATGAGAGATTTGTAAAAATTGTCCTTTCAGTAACGCTATGATAAAGGCTTCCATCATCACAATGTAAACCATTCAGGGCCTTTTTAAAGAAAGGAGATGTTCAAAAGTAACACTGTAAATACCACTGTCAAGTTGCTTTCAAAGAGATTTTGAGGTGAGTAAGTTCAGGAAACATTACAAAATTTTGGCCCTAGTCCTGAAAGATTCTCCTACCTGTTTTATTTTATGAAGGAAATAAAATCTCAATTCATTATTTTGCCAGACACACAGAAAGGGAAAATTTTGACAAGTTTGAATTATCTATCAGTGGCGTGGCATGACCAAAATATAAGGATGCTGTGGTATGAATTAAGATTTCTTAGAACTTCCATTAGTGTAACTTTTATCATCCTACATCTTTTCCCAAAGCCTCTCCCTGTTTACAAAATCAATGAATGAAGAGTATTGAGGACGAAAGATTCATGTGATTTTAAAAAAAATCTTTTACAGCTGAAAACCTAATGGGTGAAATTCCAAAATTGTGAAAGAGGTTCAAATACACAAACCCCAAAAGCGCGAATGAATATTTGTGCTTTTGAGGCGGTGAATGTAGGGAGTTGTTTATGCCAATGCCTTTGAAACTTAAGAAAAAGAGATAAGAAAAACTTTATCTACTTTGGAAATCTAATCGCAATTTAACAATATTTCTACATACCTAACTTGAAGGTAAGTAGTCACCGTCCAAAATGTAAACGAGCAAAAAAGTTTATTGAATATATTTGAAAGCGTAAATCTTACTCTAATATTAAATCCTGAAGGTCAAGCTTAACACTAAGGGAGCGGAACGCTTTAGGGTACTGGACCTCTAGGCGGTCAGGGGGCGCACCCTCAAGGAATAAAGAATAATAAAGGGAAATTCAAAAAGAAATATTCGCTTGATTTTGTCTACGTCTCACCAAGCATTTTATATGAGGAACTTCAGGCCAGCTTCCTTTTAAGTAATGCTTTATCATTGATTCGTGTTTTATGAACCCGGTCCACCAATGTTCCAAACTTAAAGACATGTTTTCTACAAACTTAATTCTCCTGCAATATTGGACTCTGAATTAACCATAGGTTGATTTATATATCTGACTATACTTCTATTTAACTCTTCCGCAAAAGATGTGTTGAGATATGCACTCAAAATTTTTTTCTTCAAGTGCCCATGAAACGAATCTGCCACATTCGTCGTTCGTAGTCAGGAAGTGTAGAGCCGCAGTTCATATTTTAGAATGGCAAAATTGAAATACAATAAAACAATTGAAGCATTTTTCGGAAAATTGAAAATATTAGGATAATCATCGGTAACAGTTGACTCATCGGAGCAATGGGCACCGCTTGAATAATCATGGTGAGGTGCAAGAGAAACACCTACATAGCACCCTCAGTTAGTATCGCATGCAACAAAAACTACCTGAGCGAATTTTATCATAACGCCGAGATGCAACTAATCGAGCTCCAAGGATGTCAGTGTTGCATACGCACGGAAGGGAAGGCGTTTTGATTCCTCAGGCACTCTTTTCTCAACATTTCACTGAAGGTGTGGCACTAGGGGGTTGCACTACGATGACATAGCGCCCCGATCCTTCATTTATACTACAATGACATACACTACAAACGAATACTTGCACATATGCTTAGGATGTAAATATGTCTAATTTAGTACTTCAGTTTTGATACAGCGCTGAGTTGAGCATGATTTGTACAGCAACTATTCGTGCGTAAGAGGTATTCGTAGTATAAACGAAGAATGGAAGGCGCTCTGCCATTTAAGGTCCTCACAATAAAGCCCACCAGTCCCACCACCGCGCCGCGCTGGGTGAAGCGGTAAGTGTCCGGAAAGCCGAAACGCCTTCGCTTCCGTGGGTATGCAACACGGACATCCGTGGAGCCCGAATAGTTGCATCCAGGCAATTTAATGAAATTCCCTTAGTGTTCTTTGCATGCGACACTAATAATTGAGGGTTCTCTTTTTCACTTCAGCTTAATGTCAGCGTCACGTAGCAAACCGATGAAGTGAACTATTACTGATTTTATTTGCGCCATGTTCAATATTCCAAAAAATGCATACAGCTATTTCGGCCCTCGACATCGCAAAAAATTTAGGTATTTGAGCAGGATTTGTAGAGATCTTTCGTTTCTTTTTTACGGGTTGTTCTTTGTTTAGATTTTTCCTCCTGTTGGAAAAATGCTTCCGACTTTCAAGGGCAAAATTTTCAAAAAAATATTCCTCGAAGCTGGCTCCGCATTGAATATTAGTTTAGGCGTAGACAATAAGCATGTTTTTGTTGAACGAATCAGCAAAATTTTGGATAGAAATTGCCAGTATAAAATTGAATTGTTCGAGTCTTGGAATGGAGTTACGATTCTCCGTCTTGAAACTGAAATGAGCTATGTTAGCGCATTTATTGAACTGCGCGGGATAAGTCTATGCGCGGGATCAACCCTCCAAAACCGAGCTTTGTCGGAAACACCCGAGTAGCAAGAAGAAGGGACCTTGCGGCATTGTATAATTTGTCCAAAATACCCGTCAATACCGTTTCCAAATGACAATTAATCTGCAAAATAAATGCAGATTCCCACTGCAAAAAGTGTCCTAGAGTTTGAGATCTTGGATAAAATAATACCTCGACTCTCCCCCACATTATACTGTTGGAAAGCTCCATTATCTCCCTCCAGACAGGGATTTTTTCGGTGAAGTTGGCAGCTGTGGAGTGTGGAATCCCGCGGCCCTGCCGTTCATTCAACAGCGTTGCGTGGAAGGTGGTTCTGTCTTGCTGTGACTGTGACCGTGTCCGCTTGGATTGCCGAGCAAGTCTAAGTTCATGATCAGTGGATCAGTAGCAACAGGCAGTGGCCGTGGCGTAGTATATTTTAATCCATGCCGTGGCTCTTGCGTCAGTGAGTGTGAGCGTCTACACTTGGACACCAGGAATCGGCCAAAGCCGGGTCTCACATTCTTGTCGACTGTCCCAGCGCCAGCCACTGATTTTGCAAGGCTCTCATGCGACTCGATTCATCACTAATTAATGGATACATTTCCCTAGCTCAAAGGTTGGTTCCGTTTTCCCCTTCTTATTCCATTAGATTGCTAGAACATTCCAATTTTGCGTTTTTAGGACTCTGAATCGACGATCTAAATCGACCGAATGTTACAATAATGTGCCGGGAGACTTGATATAAAAGTAATCACTACTAAAAACGATCCTCTTGGTGAGTGGAACATGGTAACATGTTGACGCCAACATTATGTCAACATGGTATCAACATGAGAAAAGTGAGACAAAAATTGCTCTGTTGCTTTGGTATATTCTTGTGCGGCCTCCGTATTGGATTTATTTCAGTCCGGCATGGTACCAACATGGTATCAACATGGTAACAACTTGGTCAAAATTACCAATAGTGACCAATATGGTATCAACTGGGTACCATGTTTGCCTCACGTTGCAACATGTTGGTTGTTGGTATCAACTTGATACCATGTTGATACCAACATAATCGTTTTTAGTGGGGAACACGATCAATATAGAGGCGATTGTAATTTATAAGAGTCATTCATTCAAAAATGATTATCTAATCATCTTAATTCCCCTTTCAACAGGAATGGGAAGGGAAAAAGTAAAGAGATGTTTGCTCCTTGCTCTCCTGAGTCGATCGTGTCTTTATGTTCGAAGGTTTTCAGCTGAGAATTGTAGATTTTTGTGCGGAGCAAAAAGTGGAAAAAAAAGTGAAGATCACCACAGAAATCTTGTATTCTTTACAATAGTAGTACTTCGTAGAGCGTTTAAACTCGACGTTTCAGCAGGAGTCCGCTCTGCGAGGAACCAAAGTGACGCTCGTCACTTAACTAGCCTTAGGTGAATAGCCGGAAAGTAACTGAGCCCATTCTCTAAATGCTCTACTTTTCTATCCGCTCGTTAAAGTCCCCAAGAACGTGCACTAACTCCATACCGCGCTTTGTCAATGGCGAATTTTTTTTTGGGGGGGGGGGAGTACAGTGGTAAGCGCCCCTCCTCCCGCCCTTCTGGCTGAAATTAGGAGGGAAGAGTGGGAAGAAAGAGAAGGAAGGAAGAAAAGAGATAAATAGAGTAAAAGGATCATACCCAACAATCTATTACGATGGTTTTGGGACTGTAACTGAGATTTTTTTCCCTTTTCTTCAAGGATTGGAGGGAGATGAGGGATATGAGTGGAAAGTTGTTTCTTTCTCACTTAAAAATATTTCTAACTTCAACGTCATTGGTCTCTTATCTTTGTTATTTTTTCTTGAAACTTAACATTCAAGAAAAATCACAGTAAAGAGGTGAGGTCGGGG